GGAGATGGATTGTTTAAGTTTAGAGTTTGGAGTTAGAGATATTAATATTTGTTTACTTGTATTTGAATATTAGCCTAGGTTTGGTTTGGGAAGTCCGGGGGGTGGGGGGATGGGATATAACATTGTGTAATATCTGTGATGTATTTCTTTTTTTTTATGATGAAAACAATAAAATTTTATATTGAAAAAAAAAAAAAGAGACTGAAATACATCTTTGAGTCTTCTTCTCCAAGAGCTTTGCATTGTTCCCTCACAAAGAACTCTAAAATACCTGGATGGATCACACAGAAAAACTGTCAAGTTCCCTCATTATGTGTCTCACAATGGCCATTCAGAAGCCTACAGAGAAGGCCAAAACCAAAATGATATTTAAAAAAAAGAAAGATGACAGATTTTTCTGGGCATACAGTATTGTTAAGATAACATTTATTTCAAAGTATATATATTGGTATTATCCCTACAGTTTCCAATTCTAAAATAGTCATGGTATCAAATGTACTGTATATTCTTATTGAAATGCAGTTCCCATTGGTGAGATTCCAGATTAGTGCCAATGATTTTGTTAACTTCTATCACAACAGGGCTTTCTTCAAATAGTCATAGAAAGTAGCAACCCACCCACCCCCCGGACTACAGTGTATTATTAACTACATTGTAAATAACCGTATCACATTCTTTTAAATAGGAGAACAAATGTGCAAATATTCAAAGAGGTGCTTTTCTTCAACAGAGCTCCAAGCAACACTTCTTTGAAGGTGTTTCATGTTGCTTTACTTCAGTCTGCTTTGCAAAGCTTTTAGTCAGTACAATGAAGATGAATTGTTCACGTCCTTCAACCTGCTTGCCAAAAGCTTTGGAAATGCTGCTGAAGAAGATACACATCAGCTTTTGTGATTGCTATGAAGGATGTGCTATCTTCCTTCCCTGGCATACCTTGCTCCAAGCTTTGGTGAGCCATACTGGAGAACATCCATCTCAATCATGACCAGGCTGTGGCCCAAAGAATCTTCTGCCCAAATGCACTGCCTGTACAGAAGCTTCTTCTGGTTTGGGGGAAGTGACAGG